ATCTACGAATTTATAACGCTAAAATCAGGGGTTCGATTCCACTCGGTGGACATAGCACATAGCCCGAAGTGGCTTTGCTATGTGAAAACACACGTAAAATGAAATTTAGTGGACTTTGTTGGTTCCTTGATTGATTACAGACGATGATCTGACTTTCGACTATACTCGCTGTTATATCAAAATGTTTTAAGGAAACCTAATCTTGTTCCATCCAATTCTTTATGCTTTTTCGAAAACGTAAAAAAAAATCACTTTTGATGGCGCTTGATAAAAATGGTATTCCATTCTTCTTTTCTTTACTCTCGTTGGCTGGTTAATTTTCATTGGGCTGTATTTCCGTCGCATGCTTGAAAATAAACGTGCTGTTTAAATTCAAGACATTGCTATATTAAACTTTTAAATACACCTATTTTAACTGGTTGCATTAACTTCTCGAAATAAACAAGAAATACAGAAAAAAAACAATCCCAAAAATAGTAACCATTAAAATGATATGAATAAAGATTCATAATTTAAATTCACTTAATTTTGTTCTCCTGAAAAAGGTTAGTGCGAATACATATATGCAAAAACATGAATTTTTTTTTTTCGTTTTGAGACAGCCGCAGAAATTCTTATCACACATAATTATCTCAAGTAAAACATTATCAAGAAAAATATCCATAACTATTTTAGTAGGTTGCTTAGAAATGCTGGTAAAACTTGAATTGTTTTGAATTTCACACAAAACTACACGAGGGCCTTCTGCACTAGCTTTCCATAATTTAGTCAATACCATCCACCGCCAACTCTTGGGCCATTCTTTTACCAACGGATAGTGGGATTTGCCGTAACAAAGGGCGAGTATGTTCGGTGATGGGGATTCGAACCCACGACCTTCAGATTGCGAGTTGATCGTCTTAACCATTAGGCTTGCTGGTAAGTAGAACGTCAGTCAGGTTAGGATCTGTTCGTTATACTTAAACAAGCTACGAACCTCAACAAACTAATTAAAAACTTCTTTAACAATGTGGATATAAAAAAACTATTAAGTAAAAATCAATAACAGACAAACCATAAAATGATTTAACAAACAATCAAATTTGGAACTGTGTGCTCTAAACATATAAAGTTCAGAATAAACCTCTGTCAGGAAACATACTTTTTATAGTTCGATGACGAGGAACCCACTTT